GCAGTAAAGTACAGTAAACAGACGCAGTAAAGTACAGTAAACAGATGCAGTAACAGATGCAGTAAAGTACAGTAAACAGATGCAGTAAAGTGCAGTAACAGACGCAGTAAAGTACAGTAAACAGACGCAGTAAAGTACAGTAAACAGATGCAGTAACAGATGCAGTAAAGTACAGTAAACAGATGCAGTAAAGTACAGTAAACAGACGCAGTAAAGTACAGTAAACAGATGCAGTAACAGATGCAGTAAAGTACAGTAAACAGGCAGTAAAGTACAGTAAACAGGCAGTAAAGTACAGTAAACAGGCAGTAAAGTACAGTAAAGAAACACAGTAAAGTACAGTAAATAGGCAGTAAAGTACACTAAACAGGCAGTAAAGTAGAGGTAAACAGACAGTAAAGTACAGTAAACAGGCAGTAAAGTAGAGGTAAACAGACAGTAAAGTACAGTAAACAGATGCAGTAAAGTAGAGTAAACAGAAGCAGTAGAGTAAACAGAAGCAGTAGAGTAAACAGAAGCAGTAGAGTAGAGTAAACAGACGCAGTAAAGTACAGTAAACAGACGCAGTAAAGTACAGTAAACAGACGCAGTAACAGATGCAGTAAAGTACAGTAAACGGATGCAGTAAAGTGCAGTAAACGGATGCAGTAAAGTGCAGTAAACGGATGCAGTAAAGTGCAGTAAACGGATGCAGTAAAGTGCAGTAAACGGATGCAGTAAAGTGCAGTAAACGGATGCAGTAAAGTACAGTAAACAGACGCAGTAACAGACGCAGTAAAGTACAGTAAACAGATGCAGTAACAGATGCAGTAACAGATGCAGTAAAGTACAGTAAACAGACGCAGTAAAGTACAGTAAACAGACGCAGTAAAGTACAGTAAACAGATGCAGTAACAGATGCAGTAAAGTACAGTAACAGATGCAGTAAAGTACAGTAAACAGACACAGTAAAGTACAGTAAACAGACGCAGTAAAGTACAGTAAACAGATGCAGTAAAGTACAGTAAACAGATGCAGTAAACAGATGCAGTAAAGTGCAGTAAACAGATGCAGTAAAGTGCAGTAAACAGATGCAGTAAAGTACAGTAAACAGATGCAGTAAAGTACAGTAAACAGACGCAGTAACAGATGCAGTAAAGTACAGTAAACAGACGCAGTAAAGTACAGTAAACAGATGCAGTAACAAATACAGTAAAGTACAGCAAACAGACGCAGTAAAGTACAGTAAACAGATGCAGTAAAGTACAGTAAACAGATGCAGTAAAGTACAGTAAACAGACGCAGTAACAGACGCAGTAAAGTACAGTAAACAGACGCAGTAAAGTACAGTAAACAGACGCAGTAAAGTACAGTACACAGACGCAGTAAAGTACAGTAAACAGACGCAGTAACAGACGCAGTAAAGTACAGTAAACAGACGCAGTAAAGTACAGTAAACAGACGCAGTAAAGTACAGTAAACAGACGCAGTAAAGTACAGTAAACAGATGCAGTAACAGACGCAGTAAAGTACAGTAAACAGACGCAGTAAAGTACAGTAAACAGACGCAGTAAAGTACAGTAAACAGATGCAGTAACAGACGCAGTAAAGTACAGTAAACAGACGCAGTAAAGTACAGTAAACAGATGCAGTAACAGACGCAGTAAAGTACAGTAAACAGACACAGTAAAGTACAGTAAACAGACGCAGTAAAGTACAGTAAACAGATGCAGTAACAGATTCAGTAAAGTACAGTAAACAGACGCAGTAAAGTACGGTAAACAGATGCAGTAAAGTACAGTAAACAGATGCAGTAACAGATGCAGTAAAGTGCAGAAAACAGATGCAGTAAAGTGCAGTAAACAGATGCAGTAAAGTACAGTAAACAGACGCAGTAAAGTACAGTAAACAGACGCAGTAACAGATGCAGTAAAGTACAGTAAACAGACGCAGTAAAGTACAGTAAACAGATGCAGTAACAAATGCAGTAAAGTACAGTAAACAGATGCAGTAAAGTACAGTAAACAGATGCAGTAAAGTACAGTAAACAGACGCAGTAAAGTACAGTAAACAGACGCAGTAAAGTACAGTAAACAGATGCAGTAACAAATGCAGTAAAGTACAGTAAACAGACGCAGTAAAGTACAGTAAACAGATGCAGTAACAGATGCAGTAAAGTACAGTAAACAGACGCAGTAAAGTACAGTAAACAGACGCAGTAACAGACGCAGTAAAGTACAGTAAACAGACGCAGTAAAGTACAGTAAACAGATGCAGTAACAAATGCAGTAAAGTACAGTAAACAGACGCAGTAAAGTACAGTAAACAGACGCAGTAAAGTACAGTAAACAGACGCAGTAAAGTACAGTAAACAGATGCAGTAAACAGACGCAGTAAAGTACAGTAAACAGACGCAGTAAAGTACAGTAAACAGATCCAGTAAAGTACAGTAAACAGACGCAGTAAAGTACAGTAAACGGACGCAGTAACAGACGCAGTAAAGTACAGTAAACAGATGCAGTAACAAATGCAGTAAAGTACAGTAAACAGACGCAGTAAAGTACAGTAAACAGACGCAGTAACAGATGCAGTAAAGTACAGTAAACAGACGCAGTAAAGTACAGTAAACAGATGCAGTAACAGACGCAGTAAAGTACAGTAAACAGATGCAGTAACAGATGCAGTAAAGTACAGTAAACAGACGCAGTAAAGTACAGTAAACAGACGCAATAACAGATGCAGTAACAAATGCAGTAAAGTACAGTAAACAGATGCAGTAAAGTACAGTAAACAGACCCAGTAAAGTACAGTAAACAGACCCAGTAAAGTACAGAAAACAGACGCAGTAAAGTACAGTAAACAGATGCAGTAACAAATGCAGTAAAGTACAGTAAACAGACGCAGTAAAGTACAGTAAACAGATGCAGTAACAGATGCAGTAAAGTACAGTAAACAGACGCAGTAAAGTACAGTAAACAGACGCAGTAACAGACGCAGTAAAGTGCAGTAAACGGATGCAGTAAAGTGCAGTAAACGGATGCAGTAAAGTACAGTAAACAGACGCAGTAACAGACGCAGTAAAGTACAGTAAACAGACGCAGTAAAGTACAGTAAACAGACGCAGTAAAGTACAGTAAACAGATGCAGTAACAGATGCAGTAAAGTACAGTAAACAGACGCAGTAAAGTACAGTAAACAGACGCAGTAAAGTACAGTAAACAGACGCAGTAAAGTACAGTAAACAGATGCAGTAACAGATGCAGTAAAGTACAGTAAACAGACACAGTAAAGTACAGTAAACAGACGCAGTAAAGTACAGTAAACAGACGCAGTAAAGTACAGTAAACAGATGCAGTAAAGTACAGTAAACAGATGCAGTAACAGATGCAGTAAAGTACAGTAAACAGATGCAGTAAAGTACAGTAAACAGACGCAGTAAAGTACAGTAAACAGACGCAGTAACAGACGCAGTAAAGTACAGTAAACAGACGCAGTAAAGTACAGTAAACAGACGCAGTAAAGTACAGTAAACAGACGCAGTAAAGTACAGTAAACAGATGCAGTAAGATGCAGTAAAGTACAGTAAACAGACGCAGTAAAGTACAGTAAACAGATGCAGTAACAAATGCAGTAAAGTACAGTAAACAGACGCAGTAAAGTACAGTAAACAGACGCAGTAAAGTACAGTAAACAGATGCAGTAACAGATGCAGTAAAGTGCAGAAAACAGATGCAGTAAAGTGCAGTAAACAGATGCAGTAAAGTACAGTAAACAGACGCAGTAAAGTACAGTAAACAGACGCAGTAAAGTACAGTAAACAGGCAGTAAAGTACAGTAAACAGACGCAGTAAAGTACAGTAAACAGACGCAGTAAAGTACAGTAAACAGATGCAGTAACAGATGCAGTAAAGTACAGTAAACAGATGCAGTAAAGTACAGTAAACAGATGCAGTAACAGATGCAGTAAAGTGCAGTAAACAGATGCAGTAAAGTGCAGTAAACAGATGCAGTAAAGTGCAGTAAACAGATGCAGTAAAGTACAGTAAACAGACGCAGTAAAGTACAGTAAACAGATGCAGTAACATGCAGTAAAGTACAGTAAACAGACGCAGTAATGTACAGTAAACATAATTCATCATATAAACTATTGGTGTTGATGTGGTAGCAGTGCACTAGCGTGTAGCTGGAGACTTTATTGAATGTTATAAATTAAAGATTAATAATTATTGCATTCGTTAAAGTAAAGAAATAAATTCAGTAATTATGTTTTTAAACTTATTGGACTGTTAAAGTTTTCCTTCCACCTCTGCAGTCAGCAGCTACTTTTAGCTCCGACATGTTTTATGAATGTCGGCCCCTGAAACCCAAACCCGGGTTGCATCATCATCTGACGTCCTCCACTGATCTGAGGTCTGTTATGAAACTGTGTGTTCTCAAAAAGACCCATAAAAAAAGATAGAGAGAGCTTCACATGTTCTTACTCTCTCTCCCTCCCTCTGTGGACTGATGGACCAGATCCCTGCTAAACATTTAGTTTGGAGCCGAGCCCAGTCCTGCACACTGCTTTCAATTATCTCTCTACCCCTCTCTCTCTCTCTCTGTCTCTCTCTTTCTCTCTCTTTCTTTCTTTCTTCTCTCTCTCTCTCTCTCTCTCTCTCTCTCTCTCTCTCTCTCTCTCTCTCTGCTCACACACATTGTTGCTTGCTCGCTCACTCACAGGAGTGTTTAGGGGGGAAACGGAGCGGAGAGCAAGGGGGGAAGCAGCCTGGTCGTTTTTCTTCTTCCTTCCTTCCCTCCTTTTTTCCTGCGACGCTCATTTTCAACTCCACCACAGAGTAAGAAAGAGAGAGAGCGAGAGGGAGGGAGGGCCGAGTGAGTTAGAGTTAGAGGGGAGAGGTCCGGGGGTTCGGACGATGCAACACGCTCACAAACTCTGACTGCAACACAAAGTGAAATGCTGCAGCCTCGACTCTGCTGGTTTCTGTCGGCCGTCTTCATCGTCTTCGTCTCTCCTCTTCCAGCTGATGGACAGAGAGCTGCAGGAGGTGGAGGAGGAGGAGGAGGAGGAGGAGTGGAGAGGATCCAGGTGATGTTCACGCCGACAATCTGCAAGGTGCGCTGCAGCCAGGAGCGATGTGTCAACTACTGCGAGCGAGGCAACGTCACCACGCTGTACAGCAGCAGCGAGGGAGGAGGAGAGGGAGGAAGGAGAGACGGCTCCCATGGACCGGGCTTCAGAGTCTGTAAGTTCGACTTTTACCTTCCACAAAAGCTTTCATGACTCACCTGGTATATGAATGATAACAGGTGTTGCTGTGAGCAGAGGTGGGACAAAGCCATTGTTTTCTCAAGTCTCAAGTCTTAAACATTGATCTTTGAGTCCTCTTTGAGTCCTAATGTGACCACTGTGTAGTTATTACAGTGTATACAGTTTATAGTGACATAAAAACAACAGAATACAAGATATGGGCAACAACATAAAGCTATCCATGGAAGCCCATTTCTCTAGTATCTTCATTAGACTTCACAAAGTCACTATTTCCATTAAAGTTTCTCACAGAATCCATGTGTTTGGTCACACTGGCAGAATTGGGCCTCCATCGATGTCAGATCATTGCAGTTCATAAGCCCAGAGGGATTCAAACACATACAGATGTTCCAGTGTTTTCAGCTGTGTAACTGCTGTAATATGCAGGTGATTCAGTTCGGGGCACGCAGCAAGTCGGAGCCCTTAATGAACGTATCTGCACCACTGCTTTAATGATGATTGACGCGAGCTGTGAGGTGTCGTTCTGTAACAGGAAGCACTTTTACATACAGACCTTTGATTGGCTCATACCTCACACTATGTACATTTATGTTGTATAATCGGTCTGCACACTTTCTAACTCGACTCAAGTCCACAGGAGGTCACGCCTCCTGCAGCGAACCCTAAAACCAGGTCTAAACCCTCAAACAGCCCGATGTTTACCACCAGGAGTTTAGCACGGTGACAATGCGGTTCAGTGAGCGGTAGTTCGAAACCAAATGATTCAGAAAACACCAGAATGAATCTACAGCTACATTAACCAGTGATCTACTGAACCTCCACTAGGGGTCAGCAAAGCTTCACAAGGGGTCACGAGGTCTTCTTGGTTTTAATGAGTGTGAGAAAACGTTAAAAATATACACAGCAGCTCGATATCAAAAACATTTTAAAAAACTCATCTCTGATCTTAATTCATCCTGATCTCTGGTTTTACACAAACTTCCTGCAGTTGCTGAGTTCACTGTTTGTCTGGTATTGATCAATAGAATATGAAATATAGATAAAAAGGTTGGTTATCTTGATTTATTGATCACTGATTGCATGATCGGCTGAGAAGCTCTTATCGGACCCGTCTATCACCTGAATCCTGCTGCTGTTCACTGTGAACAGAGGAGTGAAAGTCCAGGTGAGACAGGAAGGACATGTAGTGGATCCATCAGGGGACTCGGACTGTCGGACTGGGAGCTCCCAGTGAACAGCAGGTCCAGACCGGGACTGAAAGCAGCATCTGATGCTGACGGAGGACAGTTGGACTGAGGCACGAGCTAACTAGCTAAAGGCATTTAATATTACCCTTAGCAACAGTTAGCTTCTTTTAGCAACAAGTTAATCTGGAAACTCCCATCAATCACCTCGGTACCGCTGTCATCAATCTGTCCTCTGTCTGTCTCTGAGGTTGTGTTCACTGGGAGGCTGCTGAGCCCCGTTCAGTTGCAGCTGCCGTTAGCTTCATTAGCAGTTAGCGGAGGACGTCAGAGAGAAAACCAATATAATAAAATCTGATCCAGTTTCACCCAAATCACTGATAAAGTTGAGTTTGTACAGTGATCTGTTAACTAGCTAGCTAACTAATGAATCTTCGCTCTGTGATTTATTGACGGGTGAATGTCAGGATACGATTGGTTCAATCCAACTTTATTTGTTAAGCACTTTAAAAACAACCAAAGTGCTGTACAGGAGAATAAATAAGACATCATAAATGTAAACAGTGATGGTGATGATGAAGACCACTGTGAGGAATATAGACAGTGATGGTGATGATGAAGACCACTGTGAGGAATATAGACAGTGATGGTGATGATGAAGACCACTGTACCCGGCGTTACACCAGCTGTTGTTGTTGAAGTCAGTTAGTTCATGCTGACGTAAGCACGCATCACATTTAGTTTCACAGGAAGACACAATGATTGGAGTTTATATTAAAACACAAAGAAACTGAGTTTTTGTAACATATTTTAGCATAAATTGTTAAATATGGGAACAATATAACTGAGGATGTGATCTCACCTGGACTGTAAGACAGTGAAGACATTAGAATGAACACATGAGGACAGTGTGTGACGTGTGAAGCGGCTGCAGCTGTTTGACGGTCGAGTTCAGCGTCTGAAGCAGAGCCAGTGAACAGTTGTGCAACCTGAACTGATCCCAGACATTCACAGTATGTAATCTGTGTCTTAAAGCTGCAGTCTCTCTAATGGCCAGCAGGGGGCAACAAGAAGTCTGACAGTATTGAGGCTTATGGAGAATAATTTCAACTTTATATCTCATAATTGTAATGTTTCTAATCTCTGATCTGTTTTAAATCTCTCTTTTTATTTAATTATTTTGACTTATTCGTCTTATTTTCTTACTTTACTGGCAGAAATCAGCTCATGTTCACACAAACAGGAAGTTTACGTTTTCTTTATCAGATATTTTTTAGGAGAAATATTTTCTTTACGTTACGTTTGGATGTAAAGTAGAAACAGAGGAACAAGAGGGAGGAGACACACACTGACATATGGCTTTCATTTATCATTAACTTACCCACACACACACACACACACACACACACACACACACACACACACACACACACACACTGCTGCGGAGGATGAGGGAGGTGGTGATGACATCATGGGGTCAAAAGGTCACTCCCCCTCCTCGGTGCCTCCTCAACGTTACTGTTTTTCTTTCTCTGAATTAAACTTTATCGGCACAAATGTACAGAAACAGAACAACCTGTGTGTGTGTGTGTGTGTGTGTGTGTGTGTGTGTGTGTGTGTGTGTGTGTGTGTGTGAAACAGGATCCACTTGTTGTCATGGTGATGGATTTATTTATTTATTTATTATTTTAGTGAGAAATCTTGATTTCTTTTTAAATTGAAACATTGATTATTGATCAGTATACACTGTATCTTTATGGATGATATTGATCAGAATACACTGTATCTTTATGGATGATATTGATCAGTATACACTGTATCTTTATGGATGATATTGATCAGTATACACTGTATCTTTATGGATGATATTGATCAGTATACACTGTATCTTTATGGATGATATTGATCCTGTATTGACAGTCAGACTGTGGACATATGACGGCCTTTAGCTCGTGTTTCTAGAGTTACGTGTTGTTACGAACACGTTAGGAATTGTTAAAATGTGATATTTCTTAAAGGGAGTTTGGTGCAGGGAGCTTTTAGTTGGATTCAAACTGCTGATATGGATCATTGTTAACGTTTAGTCTCCACTACAGAAACACTAGCTAACTGCTGAAGGCTGATCAGGTTGCTGACTGTATTAGTTTGATTGATGCTTTAATAATCTGTGTATTGATTTCTAATGCTGGCTGATCAGCGGCAGTATGTAAATGGTTTTTCTTTGTGTGCTTGTTTTCAAACCACTTTCCTAATTAAACATGATTAAATTAAACGTGCTTGTTCTTCAGAGAGCCGCTCTGTGAACATAATGGAGCGTTTAGCTGCAGCAGAGATATTTCCCTCGGGAGGAGGAATGATCATGTTGTAACTGCTGGATGTGGAAATAACCAACTGTTTGCTAACATGTTAACATCAACGAGCTGATAAAATGTCTGTAAGATGTGGTAATGACCCACAGTGTTGCTTCAACCAGACCTCAACCACAGAGCTGTCAGATCCCAGTGAATCATTCTCTGTTTATATCCTTTCATCCCTTTAATCTCTCTGTTTATTCCCTGCACACTCTTCTCTTTCTATCCCTCCGCTTTCTCTCTCTTTCGCCACAGTTACCTCCAGAAACCTCCTGCTAACTGTGTGTGTGTGTGTGTGTGTGTGTGTGTGTGTGTGTGTGTGTGTGTGTGTGTGTGTGTGTGTGTGTGTGTGTGTGTGTGTGTGTGTGTGTGTGTGTGTGTGTGTGTGTGTAATAAATTTCACTTGTAGAATAAACAAATATTTCAAATACAAGATTACATGCATGCTTGGGAGGGTGTGGACACTTACACAGGATACCAGAGGTGGAGGAAGAACTGACATCTACTTCATTACGAGGAGAAGTCCTGCATTTAAAGCTGCTTCAGTAACCGTACACATCAACTGTGAACCTGATCGGTTAGTGGAGATCCGTTCTGAAGTTTGGCCAGCAGGGGGCAGCTCCACTGGCTGCAATAAAAACCAATACCATGCAGGCTTATGGAGAAGTTGATGTATGAGTTCAGTGAACAGTTTCCTGATGAGTTTCTGGTTTCAGTCTCTAGTTTCAGTCTTCTTCCATACAGCATGATGTTCATTTAGTAACTGATGGTCCCATTTAGAGGAAAAACCAACATGGCAACGGTCGTTATGTTGAACTCTGAACGGGTGACGTCCCAACAGCAGCTGGAGCTCTTCATTCAGTTAATCAGACAGTTAAACAGTAACCCTCAAATTCTGTTATATAACTCACATAACACCCAACTCGTCACTAAATCAATAATAATCAATAATAGTTGGTTATTTCTGCTGGTTGTGAGCTGTTCTGGGCTCAGATCACAGAGCTGCTGGTAGAAATCCCACAGTCAGAAGGAGCTGGCATTAAAGCCGCCGGTTTCCTTCCTGCTGCACGGACTTCTGGGTATTATCCGCTCACTGGCACCAGCTGAACTCTGGGTAACAAAAAGCATCCTGTCGCTCAAACAGGAAGTAGGAAGCGGCTGGCTGGTTGTGTCGGCTCCCCGGTCCACTTTCACCTCCGTCCCATCGGGCGCTGGTTGACATCTGTCACCTGACCTCGACAGAAACAAGGGGGGGGCACGCCCACGTCTTCCCAGGATGCATCTGTGGAAGTAAAAACAGAACTAATGTGTGTTAATGTGTGTGAGGCCTGTAAATTAACTGACAATCTAAACAGATTAATAAATGCTTTTAATTTGAAATATGAAAAACAAGCAGATCCTAGAGATCAATCTGAGGTCACGAGAGAGAAAAACAAAGTTCTGATGCAGAAATCTGATTTTGTGTTCTGGAATATAAATAATATTAATTTATTGATGGGGGGGGGGGTTCGGTACAGTTGCTCAAGAAGCACTTTAATCTTTTTAGTGAAATATTGGATCATTTTTCCTCTTCGGGCTCCAACAATAATTAATCATCCAACAGTTTCAGTTTATACGACAATGTGAAAACGACCTCATGCACACGGATCGGCAAAACAACTGAACTTACTTCCTCAAAACACAATTCATACACTAAAACACATGAAAAATACACTGTTTACACAATTTATAACTTTATTCACTGATTTTGGTGAAACTGGATGAAATGTTATGGAGAAAATGTTTTCTGGTTTTCCTCTGATTCAATTTTTTTCAATTCAATTTTATTTGTATAGCGCCAATTCATAACAGAAGTTATCTCAGGACACTTTTCAAATAGAGCAGGTCTAGACCGAACTCTTTAACATTAATTACAGAGACCCAACAGTACCACCATGAGCAAGACCTTGGAGACAAGGGCAAGGAAAAACTGCCTGTTAAAAGGCAGAAACCTAGGACAGATCCTCCGGCTCTAGGTGGGTGGTCGTCTGTCTCGACCAGTTGGGGTGAGAGAGAGAGAGAGAGAGAGAGAGAGAGAGAGAGAGAGAGAGAGAGAGAGAGAGACACAGACACAGACACAGACACAGACACAGACACAGACACAGACAGACAGACAGACAGACAGACAGACAGACAGACAGACAGACAGACAGACAGACAGACAGACAGACAGACAGACAGACAGACAGCAACAACAGTATTGGCAATGGCAATCTAGCAGGACCATGGCAGGAGGCTCCACCAGGATCCATGAGAACCTGCGAGACGAGAAAGCACAAGAACTCCGGGGGAAGAAGTGGAGCTGACCCAGTCGGAGTTCCTCCTGCCGCTGGGACACAGCCAGGATGGCTTTACTTTACGTTAAAGTAACTGATAACTGCTGCACTTAGCTGAGTTAGCTCTACAGTTAGTGTCCCCTTTAGCTGAGCCGGGTTCTGGTTCTGGTTAAGAAAAAGGTTTTTAAAAAGAAACAACATCGTAACGAAGAACAGAAACATTTTCTCGTCTTTATGTGAAATCTGAAGCTGTGAGACAAACGTGTGTCTGATGGTGCGTTCGCTGTCCCTCCTGCAGTCCTCTGTCCTCTGCTGTGTAAGAACGGAGGCGTCTGCCTGCAGAAGGACCGCTGTCTCTGCCCCGCCGGCTTCACCGGGAAGTTCTGCCAGATCCCCGTCACGTCTGCCGCCGCCGTATCTGCAGCGGCGCCGCCGTCCTCCTCCACCAATGAGATAGTCAAGCCCCTGCCGCCGCTCTCCGCCATGGCGACCAATCAGGAGCTGACCCAGTCGGAGTTCCTCCTGCCGCTGGGACACAGCCAGGAGGTGGCGAGGTCTGGAGGTGAGTCTGACCTTTGAACCCCAACAGGTTACTGGACGTCTGTGTGAAACTGAGTGTGTGTGTGTGTGTGTGTGTGTGTGCAGCCCCCGGCCCCTCCCTGGTGAAGGTCCGAGTCCAGCACCCCCCAGAGGCCAGCGTGAAGATCCACCAGGTCCTGAAGGTAAAACTGCGACAATCAATTTACACCGATCGCTATCGATCGGCGCCAATTTCTGAGCGGTTCTTCTCTTCGCTCCAGGTGTCTGGGTTCGGTCCGACCCTGCGGACAGTCTCCTCTTCCTCTTCCTCTTCCTCTTCCTCTTCATCTTCATCCTCCACTTCCTCGGGGTCAGCGGGCGCTCCAGCTCCGGCGGTCCAGGCACAGACACTGAGGGGGCGCGGCACGTACAACCAGCAGTCCGGGTTCAAGTACTGCTTCAGAGAGGTCAAAGATGGACAGGTGAGAGAGAGCGGGAGGACTGATTATTGATTATATATTGATAGACTTTAGTATATATTCTTTTCTTTTTATTTATATTTGTATTTATTGTTATTATCCTGCTTTGGACCTGCTCTCTTCTGCTGCAGTGTTCGTTACAGACACAGTACGAGTCTGAACAATGTCATAAAAGTTTTAGAGTTAGTGAGCAGCCATCTAGGATTTTGAGGTCGGGGTCCTCTTGTGGGACAGCTGGTTTCATATAACGACAGTCTTTATTAGAAGATCTGTGGAATGATTTTATTTATTACTGGTGAACGTGAACCAGTGATTTATTGTTTCTGATCCAGTAAGTTGAGACTCTGGTTCACTTTATCTCTCTTGGCTGCAGACGTTCACACATTTCATCCTCATAATAAAACACAGCTTTAGTTTCAGTAGCTGCATGTCCAAGTCTTCAAACACAAGTAGAAACCTCATAAAGTAACAAATAACCTGCACTTCCTCTAACGGACACTAGAGGCTGGCTCCAGCAGTGAGTCAGTCTCCATAAGGCTCCATATTAAACTGCAGAATAAACGTGTACAATTGTACAACTCACCCCTTTAACCCTTTAAGCGCCAAAGTCACAAAATTGTGACAGGACGCGGTACTGAATCAAACAGCTGTTTTCTCCTAATATAGTGTTACATCTCATTCATACTCCCCTCCACTAGTTGGCAGACATCCCGTACTTAGACCTTAGCTCAGAAAAATGTCATGTTTCAATGCAAAATGTTCGAGGAAGTCCCGTCCAAACTGTTGGGTGAGAAACGGGAAATAGTGTGCCACGGCGCTATTTATGCTGAAGCGGTATTGCTGGATTTAGGAGTTATTGAGACAGACGAAATAAATGAAAATGGCAAGCAAAAAGTTGACGCTTAGGGAAGTGGTGGGTCTCCTGTTCGCTGACTCTGATTCTGAAGGGGAAAATGTACCTTTGGGAGATGACGGCTGGTCGTTTAGTGAGCGTGATAGTCACGGTGCGTCTTTGCACCGGCGCTGCCGGGCAGAGCGAGGAAAACACACAAGCACAAACATACGACCCTTTGCCCAACATAGGTGGGAGTACTACAGGAACTCGTAGTATCAGTAGGGGAGCTAATGGATGTGGTAGAAGTAGCGGGGGTGGTGAGAATAGCGCTGGGACCAGCGTTAGTGTTCACTCTTTCTACCGCGCCGGTCACAGTGCGTCCAAGTGCGGCAGTGGTGCAGCCATCCGATGCGGCAGTGTGTGCCTGTCCATTTGTTAGGCTATGTGGTGGGGGGGTCTCAATATTGTTCATATTGTCTCTGTACTGTGCCTTATGTGGACAACATAACAAATAGATGGAGGGGGGTGAATCTGATGAAATAAGTTCAACTCTCTTTCAAAATATCAGGTATTTCATGGAAATTATATAATCCAATATGGCCGTCGCTATAGGACGTCATAATATGCAAATTAGATGGAAATATTGACTCCCTAGATAAACTTTAGGTCATTCTCAATATTTGTCTCATTAAACTTTGTCTCTATCTCAAACCACTTTCAAGCCTTCTGAAATTTAGCTGTCAAAATCTAGTATTTTTAAAAATAAAACCCGGCGCCTAAAGGGTTAATTTATATTAAGGATTAAAGTTATTGATTGATTGATCCAATACTTTCCAGTGA